TGATCATCGTTCAACGAATAGCTTGCGCTTGCAACCTAGTAGCGGAATCGTCGCACATTACAAAAAAGCCGGAAAGCAAAATCTATATCTATAAAGGCAAATGAATATAGATAGGTATAAACAATGTGAATACGTTAAAAGAGCAGGAGTTACTTTTAGAGCGAAAAGCAAGCGACGTGATAAGATCACTATGGCGCTTGCCATTTCTAGCGCTCGAGACATGGGATACGGTACTCGTAGCCGCTTGGGTCATCGGGCCTCCTCCCTGTGATTCGCGGGCCGCATGCGGCCCGCGGGCCGCGTGTTTCAGACCCCTGGATTAGAGGTTAGGTTGGATGAAGGTGCGCCTTTACAACTCTCCGTCTATTGATCTGCCCAACAGGCAGGGATGGGCAAAATACATGCAAATATGTGTCGAAATAAAAATACAAAATACTTCGTCAAAAATATATTTAATTACAAATCTAATTACATTTAAAAAAAGCATTTAAGTACAAGATACAAATACAACCAAATGTATTTGGTCTCCCTCCAAATACTTTTCGAAATACATTCCTCAAAATTTGCGTCAGCGACTTCAGGGCACCTGCAACGTGTTTCTGGGTATCTCATTTTAATCTTGCATCACACACTCGGGAGTTAGTGTGCAAGGCTCTAGTAACGTAATAGAAATATAATCACACGAAATTTAATCAGCTTGGATGTAATAGGTGAAAAAAGTACAGAGCTTCAAGCAGCTTTTTTGTCGATTACATTTTGGTATAGACCAACAAACAACCGAGACGACCAAGACGCGCAGCACTAGCTAGGGAATTTTTTATTGTTGCAACTCGCACCAGTTACGAAAATCTGGACGACCCGCGCATTTAGAATGTTCCAGGCAAAAATATGGATGGAAATCAGGCTGGAAAGCATCACAAGTTGTCACAGGCACTTATTTAGCCAGTCTGCCTGTGAACGTCAATTTCGTCACTATTCTTGCCCTGGACTATCACCGTAATCACAAAGTCACTAAACGCATGTGCTTGATTGAAAGAAACTTCATTCGGTGCAGAACGTAGTTATGAGGGATGTATTTTCGAGCACAAATTTGTATTTGATTTCAAGTGTATTTGAAATACCCACGTTTTAGTGTTTAAATACACACATCGAATGCATTACCCAATTTGTAATTAAATACAAATGCAAAATACACAACGTATTTGAAATACGTATTTCAAATACTTGTATTTAAAATACGTATTTCAAATACTTGTTTTTGAAATACTACCAATCCCTGCCAACAGGGCTACTGGCCCTTCGAGACGAATATCACCTATCATCGATAAACCGTAAGCACCTAGAAAGCCAATTTCCGACTGCAGTATCGCCATCAAACATCGCCGACCGCGGAAGCGGCCTCTGTGGTGGCCCAGCACTAAGCCTAGGGACGGAGTGTTTTCCGCTCGATAACTTCGTCTTAAGCCTCACCTAATCCTGCTATTGTTGATCGCTGGGGGTTACCTTGAAACCCCGGCCCACGTCCCACGACCCTCCGCTGTTCCCGGTCTGCGTTCGACAACGTCGCCGCTCTCCGATTTGACGGTTGTGTTTTATGGCTCCTCTGGAAATCCAAAGACGAATTTCTCGCTTTGTATAGACGCCTTTCCTTGTTATCAACTGCACTCTTAAAGGGAAGCTACGGAGCTTCTTGGAAAAAATGAGTTAGATGTGAATTCTTGTGTATTTTTACCCCCTGAACCCGAATACCCAAACCAATTGCTGCGTAACTATTGTTAAACGCGAGAAAAACGCGAAAGACAGTCGCTGTCCGTGACGTCATCGACGGCTCTTTTGGCTGCCCAAGGCTAGGGAGGCGTGGCTTCAGCCCTATTTTGAAGTTGCTCTTGTGGCTCTCCGGCGCGTCGCATTGAAATATAATTTTGATATCTGTTATTCTAAAGGCCAAATGAACGCAATTCAAGCGTTTTTTCTCAAATGTAGAAGTGCCCCATCTTCCCTTTAAAAAAAGAGTGTCAGTATAGTCCTCCCTAAAGGGGAGGAACCCTCTTGACACATATGTTCCTTTAGAAGGGCAGAAATTTTCGTCCCTGAAAGAAGGGTAGCAGAGTTCCTCCGTTGCCCGCATCTCATTATGGCGGCCACGAATCGAGCAAATCGAGCTCAATAACGCTTCTCGAGAACACTAAGTCTATTCTACGGGACGAGAGGAGCAGCAAATAAAAACGTAACACGAGCTTTCCACGAACTGTATTTATTTCCGAAGCCGGTTTCTCCCGCAGGTAAAGAAACTTACGTTTCGGAAGCATGCAGTCACTCAGTCTTCTCATCGTCAGCACTGTGATGTTAAACGGAGACAGCCGGCACCTATGGTTCCCTGCACTGTTCATCTTTGGTGACTTCAACAGTCATATTAACTAGTTCGACCCTGGCACTCCCATCCCATCAGATCAACTCTGTGACGTACTACTGAGGGCAGCAGTTTCCAGTACATACGTACTGGAAACTGCTGCCCTCATCCAACTTTCTGACAACCATCCTACGTTTCTCGAAACGGCAATGCTACATTCTTCGACCTCGCCTTCACCAATAATCCCACCCTATCCCACCGCTGCACAGTCTCCTCCAGCCTACCAGGCAGTGATCATAGTTCTGTCCTCATCAATATCCACTGCTCAGCCCCTAAGCGAGTTTATCAAGCCAAAAACTTCCAGCAGTTCAAAAAAAAAAAAAAAAAACGATTTCCCTCAACTGAATTAGCTGATCCACCTTGCCCCCTTGTCCATCGTGTTTGATCACTCATCGGCTGATGGGGCCTACGGCCTCTGGCTCGACATGATGCCAGCAATTCAGCACGAATGTGTTCACCGAAGGGACCAACAGGCGCGGTGGCAGCCTTCCATAATGAAAAAGGAGATTGCAGCCCCAATTAAACGTAAACACCAGCTATTCAAGAAAGCGCAAAGAAAAGACCATCGTGCAATGCTTGACGCGAAGGACAGCACGAACCCTTCAACCGCTCATTCACTCCGGCAGCGGATTCCCGTTCGCAAAGCGGTTGCGAACGCGGTTGAGTAAAGATCCAGTGCAATTGCACGCGTACTTGATATCATCGAGTGCGCGTGCAATTGTACTGGATCTTTTTACAGCCGCCTTCGCAACTGCTTTGCGAACGCGGATCCGCTTTGTGAATGCGCGGAATCTAGAACGGCACAGCGAGTCCCCGTCTTTTTGCCTGAGGAGGACCATTTAGAACGCATTCACAGCATGATTCGGTAACTCATGTGACAAGGAGACGCCAAGTGAGGATCCAACCGAAAGAAGAATATACTTCTGAGGAATCGTTCACAGAACGTCAACACCGACAACGCCGACAACGCGACCGGCGAAGTTTAAAAACATGGCTTCGGTTGGAGCGTCACTTCTAAAGCTAACGGTGCTAACGGTCACTGCTCGATTTTTTTTTTCGTATTGGTTTATGATTATAACCCAGCTTATTATGTTTCCTAAATGCATTAACATTAATGCACTCAATTTATTTCATCGCCATCATTTTTACCTTGTTTTTTGTTTGTTTATCTTTTGCACCTTCTGCTGTCGCCATCCGGCTTGAGGGGCTCTGTGCATGCGCAATTACCGAAAGTGGCTTTTAGTGGGACCACTGGACATGATTTCACTGTGGTCGGGGCTTCCCGTACGCCATGCCGCACGCAGAGGGCGAAGAGGGCAGCGAAGATGTGCTTCCAAGAATTGCGCAACGAAGGGAGATTCATCATGGCGTCAGCTTCAATTCTTTTTTAACAATACTTGTCTTATGCGAAATCCCACTTTGGCAGTATCGGGTTGCTACGCGTAATGTTGGATGGTTTTAGAAACTTCCACCGCGCTTACCCACTTTACGGATCGCTGGTGGCAGTCGTCAGTGGCATCCCGCCAACCACGACGCCAACCACGACGGCTATGAGAATTAATACCCACGTTGCACATCCGTCCTCAGGTACGCGGCGGCATCGTTCCAGCCACATTACGTGACCATGCAACAGCTGTCGGTTTCGTTTCTTCGCATACTGTGGGCGAAAAATAAAATTTGTTCACCAAATCTACATTCGGGTCGTGCCTCGCAAGCAAGAACGCATTCACAAGTTTGTGCAAGGTCAATTCCCCACTCGAAATGTCGGGAACACATAACTGAGAAAGCGCAAGTAATTGTTGGAGTGTAGTCGTCCAATATAAACTTTTTCTTAAAGAAAAATAAATAAAAACTGGGAAGTAGCAACAACAGTAACGTCTATACTTTCATCGTTACTCTAGAAAATGTAATAGAACTACAGTTACGAGTTACAATTAAAAACAAATTTACTCGTTACCGTTAAAGGTCATCAATAAGTAACAAAGTTGCAGTAACGCGTTACTAGAGGCACTTTACTAGCCTAAACTTGGTTGAACCAATACAACCCCGAAAACAAGGTATGCGCCCCCCCCCCCCCCCCCCCCCCTCCCATACGTCATCCCCTGTAAATCGCAGCGCTGCAATGCCATCATGCGCCGAGGCGTTGATGTCGAAGAAAGTTGGGGATGGGCGTCAAAGATACGGTTTTTTTTTATGTTGCGGTTTATATTAAAAGCACCGAGTCAACTGAGTGGATATCGATCTTAGTCGGTTTGGATATTACAGCGAGCGTGAAAGATTATCAACAGGACTACTGCTGTTTCCCTCCATGATTAAATAGCTCCCTTATACAAACGGCATCCACACAATGAGGTCTGTTCAAAACGGCCGAAAGCAAATCTTTTCATTCGCTGTAAGAAAATATTGGCTTCGTGAATATTCGACTACCACGAAAAAGTCATAAAAACCGAGTGGTTTATCCTATACGGAACGAGTTCATAGATTGTTCCCTTTCCTCTGGGTGAGAAGAGTTCGCTCTCGCTTCCGACAAAGAAAACTCGGCTGTCTTATACGGTCTAAGCACTGCTGAACTGTACCGGGAAAGAGCGTGATGGACCGTAATTCTCTTCTGCTTTGCATCATTTTAACATACTGGACATCAAAATGTGGGAGCCACTCCCCACTCGTTGCTTTAAAAACTAACATTAACGTAGACATCGTCTGCCTGAGGGAAACACGCGGCACCGACTGGATCATTTCCTACTTCCGTAGAAACTTCAAGACTCGGAACTGGTGTGGCAACTGGCTCCAGCACTTCGACCTCCTGAACGCAAGTGCGGTCTACGATCAAGAAACATTGGTCGTCTTGCCGAGTCACATTTTGAGGCGAGGCATTCTGCATCTGATCACTTCAAAGATATATAACTTTCCTCTGACCACGTGGATCATTATGGACAATCACTGGAATCCTCTCGTTGATGTGGCATCATCGCATGAACTTTTCTGCAGAGCCGTCGCTGTCCGGCAGTACTCCGCCTCTATCGCTAAAGATCGCTTTTGGAACTGCAAGTCACGGCGCACGATCAACAAGAGAGAACTGCTGTGCGACCTTTTGCTGGAGAAGAAGCGATTATTCGATTGGACTAGATTGCGTTCGAGGCCACTGAAGGTAGGATGCACGCCTGACGGTGGGCCCAACGCCTCATGTAGGTATGGTAACGTAAGTGCGATCACGGATCTTCTGGAACACTGGAACGTCAGCTACGAGATGGTCGTAGTCGGAGATCACAATTGGATGCGTAAGCTTTTGTTGAAGCGGATCGACGTCTTGGACGCGAACATTGTCCTCTTGGAGTACCGCCGATCTCGCATCTTCTATCCTGCCTTCCTGTTCGACGATCAGGCGGTGTACTACGTCGGAGCAAAGGCCACATGGCAGAACGGCATGCACCTGAATTTCACGCTTGCCGAGTTTCTAGTTCTACTATTGGCCGCAGCGGGTGTTTGCCTCGTGTGCTTTTGCTTCATCAACTATCGCGACCGCAGACCTCTTGGATTTGACATCGGAGACATCGCTATGGTTTTCGTGGCTTCAGTGCTTTCTTTCTCTTACCCCGTTCCAAGTTCATTTGAGAGATCGAATTTCGGTCGCACTGTCCTCTTTTACTGGATACTGGGAGGGACGTCCTTAGCGATATCCTTCCAGAGCCTCTTGACGTCGAGCGCTACTCACGGCGTCTCCTGGGAAGCCGACGACACGCAAGAAAAGTTGGTCCCGAATCTTGTGGCTGGAACTGTGTCGGTGTGCGTGCAACGGTTCCACATCCACGGGTTCCTGCTCGAACAGAGAGTGAACGACTCGGACTTCTTGGGACACATGGCAAGGGCCTTCAGGCGCAACCCGACCATTGTGGCGACTGTCGAAGAATGCCTCGACCGCGCCGTAAGAAGGACCCACGTGTTTTTCACGGCTGTCCGCGGGGCCACTGAGCTACATAAGTACGGGAGGAAGATCGTTCGTGGAAAAGAGGCCATGGTGCCCTCGTTCGGCAGCACTCCCGTCAGGAAGGACTTCCCGCTGAGGCACGAGTTCGCAGCTGTGTATCGAAGGTTCGATGAGACCGGTGTCAGGTCGTACCGACCCCAATTTGAGGGATGGAAGCGGTCGACAGCTGAAGAGTCGGCGGTTCCTTTGGATGTGCGACCATTCATCATCTTGTACCTTGCCGGGTGCGTCGCTGCGGCAGTGGTTCTCGCACTTGAGTGGTTGACGTTGCTGACCCACTTTTGAAAGGTTGTTTTCGAATGCCATTTATTTGTTTACTTTTTATGTAGACACAACATCTTTTCGGCATTACATTACTAAAGAATTTACAAAAAAAAAGAGGGAACATATCTTGTGACACTCCAGTCGAAAGATAGTGTGAGAAAAAAAAACTATCCTTGGGAACAACTTTTTGTGGCAAAGGAAAGAAAAAGTAGACGCATGCGTCCCTTATGCCCCTTCAATTTGAGCACGTGCGTTCTTTTTCTATCTTTGGAAGTGCCACTAAATGTTGTGCCCGAACATAGGCCACAATGTTGCAAACCAAAGTTAACCAAAATTTGAATATTTGTGTCAGGATATAAACCGAAACTGAATGGCCAGATAAAATAGGCATACAAACATTCGCCAACCACAACTAAATATTATCAACCAGATAAAACATCTCGCGGTGCATATGCGTTGCTTCGGTCTATACTATCACTAAATTGCGGCGTCAGTTGATGTCACGGCGCTTGTCGCATTCATACACGCAAAAAAACAAAAACACATTCAACCGATATCACAGGTTTGGGTTTGCAATTTTACTTTCATAACACCTTACTAGTTAAACAAGTGATTATTTCCTAGGCAAAATTTGTTGATAGAGATGGACTTCCCCGTCAGTTCTATCAAAGAATGCTTTGCGAATTGGGTTTGTAAAACATAAACTGCCAATGGCTAGTCTTGCATATTTGCACACGCGCTTTGTGGAGTGGTCAACACGCACGGGTACATCATATGGAAAAGAGACATAGAGGTTGCGCGGGGAATACAAGTTTGTGCATGATGTTTTCTGTGGTACAGCATCAAACAAAACTTTTCTCGGTGGTGCTCGGGTGCATCCGACTTTAGCTTCGGGGCAGGGACGTTTTTAAAGGCTTTGCTAAAGGATAATAAATCTCTGAACGATCTGTGTGGTATATTTTTAATAGGGCACTCATTTGAACTGCACGACAGTTCCCGGTCACCAGGCTCTTTCAATGATTGTTGACTGGTTCTCTTGAACGTTTACCTGGTGTACATGCAAAAAAAAAAAAAAAACATTTCTTTTTTTGTGGAGAGGGTTGAGTGGGGGAAGGGAGGGCGATGAATTCGAGAAATCTGTAATTTTCTCTTTTTATCGTAATACTTGTTGTATAGTTAATTTTACTAATTCCCAAACACATAGAAAACTGGCGGTAGTCTTCTTATGGGAGTCCAATGATGTCGAAATAAATATTGTAATTGATTTTAAGCATTGTTAAACTTGTAGTCACCATCATTGTTCATGCGTATGGAGGCTTCCCGTCACAGAAAGGTGGAAACTGCAAAGAGTGGCTTTAGCAGTGCAATCGCTTTCAGCCCCTGTTGTTGGCCGTCCTTTTGGGTATTCTATACAAAGTGCACACCGAAATACACTAAAAGCAATGGCGTGAGTTGGTTTACAACTCTGTAGTACAGTTCTTGTGTAATTTGCTGAATAACGCAACAGATAAGTTATGGAAGCGAAGGAGCAGTGTTTTCATAGTTGATTAACAGAAACTACAAAAGAACCTACAAGCACAATCGAATATCTTTGGTAAGTATTCCTCCTTAGCCACAGTGTGGCACTTGGCTGCTTTATTATATTATCTCAATGATTATATTTTCAAATCTTCGGCAAATTGCATACGCCACAATGCGGCGGTGCATTTGTCAGTAATCTTGCTATCCGGACTGCATTACGCGCAAGCAGCTCCAAAATAACGCGCTGTCTCTCTGAATGTATAAAACAAGAATTGCAACAGACATATATATTTATTTGTCGTTATAATACATACAAAAATATATGCATATTTTTAATAATCTTATAATATTCAGACATGTCTGAAAAAAAAAAAGGTCAAAAGGTAGGAGAGGAATGAAGAAAATCAAACTAAGGTCACAAGTTGAAATCGCATCGCGTGTTTTCTTCTCTAGTAAATATCTTAGAGCTTGAGGGAAGTACCATGGGCAAAACGATTTGTAATTCAGCCAACTTTTAGATTGCAAGGCTGCAGTGTTGTACAGGGTGTCGTCCGAAAAAATGTATAGGATTTCTTCACCGAATAAATCAACTACGATTCGCCGAATGCCCATTCTAGCTCAAAGGTAGCTATAGCGGTGGAAACCTGATGTAAAAGTTTAAGAAATAAACGCTATCTGATTGAGAAGTTATACCCTAAGTAATCGTCTGAAAAATGAAAATTTTTATGGTAAAATGAAAACCGACGGAGTTCTCGAATGCATGAAGTTGAATTTCTCCAGTTACGGACAACGTACGACAACGGGCCCCGTTTTACCATTAAAATTTCCACCAAATCCCCTATAACTTCTGCATGAGATAACGGTTAGCTCTAAATCTCTTGGCACCTGGTTCTGACCGATAGCGCTACATTAAACGGAGAATGAGGGTTCGACAGTTTAGAGTTGATTTTTGCGTTGAAAAATTAACAACAAACAAACATGTAAGTATTTTTGGGGAAGACCTTTTATTTTTACATCACCATCCGAAGGCGAGCCCAGAATTTACAGAATGGACATCCCTTTTGGCTGGAGCTGGTGTCCTCGCTGATCGAACACGCGTCCCAGTCGAACGCTCCTGCAGCCCTAGCGAGATATCTGTGTCCGCCGCCGGCCTAAAGCAAGTAACGCAGAAAGTACAACGCTCTAGACCTGCCACCTGTAGCCACCGACTGGCCTAGAATTCAGCACGTGCTCAGCCCACGGAAGTAGTGCACACGCTAACGAGTAGAGTGGAACGCGATAGCGTTATCCGGCCCCGTTCGCATCGCGTTCTCATGCTATTTCTGCCAGTGAGCAGGAAGTGCGGCGGACATGGCCTAGCCCACTTCCGATGCTCCAACGTAACGATTGTGCTATCATGAGCTCCAACGGAGCGGTGGCAACGGCCGCGTCAGGCCGTGCTACGTCTGCTTTTGCTTTGTCTGAATATTATAAGGTTATTCTGCCATCGCTGCCTACTGGTTATGTTCTCATTCACTGTTTTCCTTCATTGCGACGTGAAGGGGCGACCGTATCGCATCCACGACTTTCGCCAAGAACTGTAATGGCTGTGGGTGATGAAGGGCTTGGCGTCCGCCGGTCCTCTTCAAATGAAGCATGTTTGGATGCTGGGGATGCAGTCGCCAGTGGCCAAGCAGAAGTTGGTGGAAGCAAAGGAGCTGATTATCAAAGGGGGACGCTGCCTTCATCGATCCGGCGAACACACAGTTAGGCTCAAGCAGTCTTGGACAAAATACTCGATAAGAGTATTTAAGTTAAGTTACTAAATACCTGCTTCATAAAATATTTAAAATACTACTCAAGTTACTTTCACTGTAAAGTATCTTGAGTAGAGTAGAATACTTAGAAATGTAATTCAATTACTCTTGAAGATACTTCCGCGTTGCGTAATATGTATCGACGTGAATGACAACGACAATTATACAGCTGCGCAAATCTGGGTTACCAGAATGCTTTATAAGCACGCAACAACACAAAACGGAAAAAGAGAAAAAAGTATAGTAGGGCCATTTTAAGCAGTCAAAATATTTTCACGAATGAAAAAAGATGAGGTGGTGAAGAACTGAAAAAAAAAAACACTAAACGTTTAATGGGCGAACTTGTGCCCAAAATAAGATAGAGAAAAACTAGCGTCGCAGGCGTCGATGTTGGTGAAACACCAAGATCGAGCTCTGCGGCGAGAGTGACTGCGGACCGCTACTCGGAGCACCCTTTTTACCCGCGTGGGTTTCTGGAACATTAGACGTAGAACGTTCGGCGCGTAGAACATTCGTAAATCGATCAAACGACAAGGTTTTCGAACTTCCAAGGATGTCAAGTTGAAACAATAAATAGAAGAGGAGTGCACTCCCTGGTATCTAACCCGGAGCCTTCGCGCGAGAGCCAAGCGCGGCAACCCGCGTGGCAATATTACTGATACATGTTACAAAACCTTTCGGGGACAACAAGGAAGAGGTCGCTTTAGGTATTGGGGAGGAGATCAGACCGTGGCACCCCAAGCAGTTAACTTTAGAACTACATGGATGGGGATAACAAATACAATCAGCGCTCGGCTGACTGACCCTAACGCGGTGTCAGCGTTCGGCGGGAGTTCGTGTTTTTCGGTGAGGGGGAGGAGGGGCTCTTTTGTTTCCACTCCGGTCTGCATGAACAATGCAGCATGCACGGTGCCCAGCTCAGCACAAGAGCCCAAGTGGGTCAAGCTCGCATCCTCTGACGACTGCTTCGAGGAGAGATCCGGCACTTAACGTCACTTCGCTAATTGTTAGTATTTTTACCTTACAGTGTGCCCTGCGCTCTGTTAAAGAAGATGATATGAACATGCTCACAAGGCCTTTGGGCATGTGCACAAACCTTGTGTTGGGTAAACACTTAGGTGTGGAGGCAACAAACGGATCACAGCGCCTTGCCAACAGTGACATCGCTGAATATCACACCCTGCACTCTAAGAAAAAATGGAGGAAAAAAGTAGCAACGGCGCGCCTTCCTCCCTTCTACCGACGCGCCCCCAGGCGGACACGAGAAAAGGGGAGGAACGAAATGTTTTTCTCCTTCTCCAGGCAGACGGGAGAAAGCTTTCGCCCTCCCGACTCATCGTCTTTCGGTTTCGTTTTTCGAGCAGGTCGCGCGCGTTGTTTAATAAATAGCTGTTGAGTTGATTGAGCTCCAGCAGCAGCGAAGGCCGCCTGTAATTCCATCTTCTAGTTTAAACGTCCAGAACATTTCGGTTGCATTGACGTTTTTATCACTAATTTTGTCAAAGGAGCAAACGAAGCCGCTAGAAACAGCGAAGTTCGGAGCAGTGCCAGCAGCGCCACGTACACTGGGGGATGGCCGTCTCCGGATTGCGTGACTCGCGCGGCACGGAACGACGGAACTACAGCCACTGCAGGCTGCAGCACTACAGACTACAGTAGCGAAAGCACGCGGAACTGTGTCGACGTTTTCGACGTTATGGAAAC